TGCCAAATTTCAGCTCTCTAGCTTTTGTATCTTCTGAGATCGACGCACTCATACATACGGACGGAGAGGGCTATATCGACTCAGCTCGTCGTCCTGATCAAGAACATATATACTTTGTGGGGTCTGCGATAATTCCTTCTTTTAGCTTTGACATTGCAAGTCCAAACAGAGGGGTGGCGTCATGGTAGAAGGCGCGGCGCTCGATCGCAAGGTCTCGGGTTCAAACCCGGGGCGAGTTGTAGTTTTCTTTTAATTGCTTCAAAAATCTAAATTGAAATTTTAACCATACTATATGTACATTTTTATTAGTTTGGTTGTTCTTGCACATTCTTAAAGTCACATCAGCAGTTAGTTTGGCTAAGATTTGCTAGATGGCGCTGCAGCAGTGAATCTAGAGTTTTCTTACTTGTTTTTATTGGCGTCGAAAATCAAAGGTTTCTTGCGTGGAGTTCAGGCATTGTACCCCTTCTTATGGAGCACATTTCGCATAGTTTGCGGATGCACGCTAACTCATGAGGCTAGAAATATATCCTCCTGTATTTTTGGCGCATATGTTTTTGGATTCTTGTTTATTGTGGCTAGGATTTGGCGTTTATCTCTGACACTCGATTTTTTAGGACCGCCTGATCTTGGCTGAACTTCAAGTGTTGCCGTTTTTCCGTAGGATATTATTATATTTTGCATACTGGAAGGGGATCGCCAAATCGTTCGGCCAATTCATCTTACTCCTTTCCCTTCTAAGTAGAGATTTTTTATTATTTGACGCGTTTCTAAAGGGATTTGCTTTCCGCAACCTATATTGACCAATTACTCTCGCAAAAAGTTAAATTGTAATTCATAATAACGTATATATGTATGTGACTCGAAGAAAAGATAAGTAGAAAATTTATCGTTTGAAATGTTAAAATTGACCTAACTGTAAAATGCTCAGACGAAAAACTTTTTTGGCCTGCATTTGGGTAGTTTAACCCTTTTTTGGTGTATAAAAAGGTCACACATGAAGCAAACAAATTTTGTTTTGCCTATTTCATAAATAAATACCTCTTTTGTATGTAAACTAATCTTAATTCATTTATTGTCATATATGTAAGTTAAAGGGTTATTCGTCTCATCAAAAGATGAGCTTATCAAAAAAATATTTTCGGATATAACTGCTAACCACAAAAATACTACATGGTTAAGTGAGCGAGCAATTTTGGCAGCTAAAAATAAAGATGTAGATGACCTCAATTTTATAATTTAAAATCAATTGTAGGTACTCTGTATTCATTCAAATCTATCTACTGTGTAACAAACGAAGAAGAAGCCACTAATTATCCAATGCTGCGTTTCCCGAAGGGTTCAGGGAATTTTTTACTCGAGCTGTCTCAACTAGAGCATTATTACCAGTTGTAAATGATAAATCGATTTAATCGTCTATAATTTTAAGAGAGCCTTTCGACAGTACGAGCAAGCAATGGGCACATCGGCTAGCTTAGGCGATCGGATGGGCCAGATGGAGGCGATGGATGGTGCTGCCCGATGTCTGGAAACTCTACGCCTACAGAGTAAGATCTGCAATTGCAGGCCTTTAGAGTTCAACACACGGCTTCTGGAAGTTGCCAGCTCCATTGGAGCGAAGGTAGATGTGCAACATATAAAAAAATCCAAAAATAATTTTCGATCTTTTCAGCTATTAGTACGAAAAATTCGAAGTCGCTTGGCCCTTATATATAGGGCCCTAGGCGATGAGGATCAGTGCAATACTCATCTACGATTAGCCGATCAGACCGACACGGCGCTCGGCCTTAATTGTGGTGCATGTGGAGAGGTGTTTGGTATGCATCCGGCTAGCCTAGAAGCACTACCATGTGCTCACATACTCCATACAAGGTATAAATTAATGGGTAATACAAAACTACCGTAGCTATAGCCTGAACTCCAACTCAATAGGCGGGCGGATGGAGGACGAGCGGATCAAGTATTCTTTGTCCTTATCCGTTCGATATTCTTATAGGGAAATCGCCGGCAGCATGTCAGATCAAGCTATGTTTTCAAGTTCATGTTTTCTTCTTCTATTGTTAGATGTGCTCAAGAAATCTTTCGACGACGTGATAAAAGTCTGTCGAACCGATCGTGTCCTGCTTGCAATAAATTGTTAAGCTCCCGTCTACAGCTCTACGGTCATAATGAAAGCGCGACTGAAAGCGAGAACTGCAATGAAGATAGCGCCCGAACCGTGGCGGTAAACGCACATGGCCTGAATCTCGATGGATTTCTCAATACGCTAAGCTCCGACACGTTGCTGCCAACAATGCATACGTTACCACCTCGATCGATTAATAACGACACAGCTGTCTTTTGCAATGGCTTAAAGAATCGTTCCGTTCCGAGCATAGAGAATACAGCTTTGCTCCTAACAACGAATGTTTCGCCAAGCGCCATCTATCGCAGCAATCTGTCTTTGGCTTCTCTCAGCATGCGCGCTTCAAGTCTGACGATCGACAGTGGCCGAAATGCGACATCTTCTGTTTAATTTTTCCAACTGTAAACGAGTACGGAAAAGTGTAAGGTGTGATTAGAAAGCTGACTTTGCCGCTCTACAATCGGTTAATAATGAATGGTACACAGAATCATTCGTTAACATTAGCATGTACATATATGTCTGTTCAAGAAGTCAAAAAGTCTGTTCTTTAGACAGTCCAAGAGAATAATTTGTATAGTTTAATATGTGAATACAAAAGCAAGTTGTTTATATTATTGTTCCAATAATCATTTCCGTATCGCAGTGATCATCGAAAAGAATCGATACGCCTTGGCTTTCGAATTAAAATAAAATTTTCGTGATGATTCGATATCTGCCTAATAGCACTAACCATGGCACTAGGGTTAGCGCTACCAGAAGCTACCCCAAGCCCTAGGCAGTTTCTTGTAAATATCGAACGAATATCGACAGAAATTTCTTCAGCAATAAGATCGATCGAGCAAAGCTAACATAAGATGTTGCAGATAAAAGGATATCACGCTGAGCTAATTCAAAGATCATGAGATCTAAGATATGAATATGAATTATATCTGGAATGTAGAGGAACTAAGCTCTCTAAATCCCAGATAAGCATTCTCTCCAAGTAGCAACATCAACTTGAGTACCTAGATCAAGGAAACCAGGGAAGAGAGAGATGAATAAAGTGCTGCAATTCCATTAACAGCTCGCAAACGTTAAAAATATAAAATAAACCATATTATTTCAAAAAAAGAAAAAGAAATTCGGAATCAATATAACCACAGCAAATAAAATCGGAGAAGTCTGAACTTTCCAATTTTAAAATCGACTTCGAGCTTACTGGCGACCTGTGGGAAAACATTCGGACTATTTGAAGTAAAATAAAAGCGTAGCGAAATTATCCAACTAGTATATAATTGAAATATGTAACTTCCAGTTGAAAACCGGTTTAATCTGCACAAGATATATATTTTCACATTTTAAAAAACTATCCATGTCAAGAAATCGATACAGTATTCAATTGGTAATTTGAAAGATTTTAACATTCATTTAAATGGTATAAAAATGCACAACTAAATAACAAAGTGATTATTATAGTTAGCACAGATTTCAGATATATATATATATATATATATATATATATATATAATGTCAATCATTGATCAAATCAATTTTACTTGCTGTAAAGTAATTGTTAAACCTGTTAAATATATATTATATTAACATAAAATCCCTTTAAAACAGATATATATATATATATATATATATATATATGTATATATATATATATATATACATATTTATATATCTATATATATATATATATATATATATATATATATATATATATATATAT